CACACACACACACACACACACACACACAGTTTCATTTATCCCATGTGGATGCAAATTGAGGCTGCCGAGGCTAGCTGTCGACCCATGGTCCGTCACCTCGTAACGTCTTTTAATCATTGAATCCAACCAACGGTAAGTTTTCACCGCAGACGAGGTAGACAGAAAGCACCCACAGGAGTTTATAAAGTGATACCCTGCGCGAACAATTCTACTTAATAGGCGCTGAAATGCAACCACTCCATTCTACATTATGATTAAACTTAATCGACGCCCCACTGGCCTAAGTTGGTGCCTGAGCTACTGATTGACCAAAAATTAGAAATTTTTATTTTTTCGCCCCTGATAAATAAAACCCCATGCTACATAATTACTAATGCAATAGCAACCAAACAGGGGTGTTAAGCTGTAATCGAAATACCCCAGCAACGGCTATGCAGCTAGGATTGCTACCAGCTCCCTCCCTCATTTATAAACTAGCATACATTTCCCATCTGGCTAAAACTCGTGAACGAAAATGACATTTTGTGAATTTTCATTGCGCTATTAACTGCCAGGGCGAATGCATTTGCATTATCGACGCTGACTCTGGTGTGGTACACACAGGCTGGCTGCCAAATCCCACCCAATAAGCCCTCGAGGCTGTATAGTTAACACCACGGCCAGAAAATAAGGGCACGCTTTAATTGGTCGCTGTTGGCAGAACGTCCCTAGGTGGTCATCGGTCACCTCAACGGTTTTACCCAATGGCATGGCAGTGGAGTAAAAATACTTGCCACAAAGAAAATAAACACACTGAGCTTTCCCCCGTTAGGAGGGCGACTCAGGCAATTCCGGAAGTGAACGGCCGTTAAACTGGTCGATGTGGTAAATATGCACTTCTTTTAGTATATCCCCGGGTTTTAATAATATGGAATACTTATTTGTTGATATAGCAAATACTATATTTTAAAGTACCTTTTCTTGTTTAGGTTGCCAGCATCACAACTAGCCTGCTCACTCAATTAATTGTTAGATCACTTTAAACCCCTAGATGTCTACAAATGAAGTAGTGGTAAGCTGCGATGAAATGAGGGCGGCATTACGACACTCGTAATCGTGGCGAGATAACCCCGGTGTGCCGTGCTTGCCTGTCTACGCGACTCGACGGCGCCGCCGCGAGTTAATAAAAAATCGATAAGTGTGTGCTGACTCATCACCGCGCTGCCTGCGCAGCACTTCACGCCTCTGTGTGTGTGCATGCGGGGCGCGCGGAGGCGGGGGCGCCTTGACAGGCTGACCACTGATGATGCGTTTAACGTGTGAAAGGCAGGCTGATGCTCGTGCTTGTCAAGACTCACGCCGTCAATGCATGGGCTCCATGGTCTTCTCAGTGGCGGGGTTAGAGACAAAAACAAGGAATTTGAGCACTTTACCCAGTTTAGCTGTCAAAGTTTGGTCCACACTCACCACTTTAATAAGTTTCACGACGTTACAAAGGCAAATTCGAGCTTCAAACATCTGCAGAATTCTCTGAATTACAGCTACAAGGATCTGGAGCTACACCGAAACGGTTAAAGCTAGGCTAATGCCAGCCTACGGAAGCGCGTTTTTGTTTATGTCAGCTTCAAAATAAATTTAGCTTTATTAATAAGTCACTGTACCGTAAGATGTCTGGTTTGCTTAACCTTTTGTGTTGCCAGGTGACATTAAGAATGGAGTGATCGAACCTTTGATTAGACAAAATTTGAGGTGCTACAGTACCTCATCATGGACAGGCAAAGTAACCATTTTTAAGTATCAGTTTTAGTCTCCGCAAAAGTGTGCTGACAAGCGCTTCACCCGAATCTGTTACATGCATGTTGATCTACTGTCATCATTAGTAATGCATCATCCGCTTGCCGACTGCATCATACGCATGCGAGAACGCGGGGAGGGGGTGACACAGTAGCGGGATGTTTTTGGTCGCCGAGCCATCTGATGCCGCCCTGACACACGTCAACCAAATGCAATCGATAGAATTGGCATGCAGGTAGGGCTAGTCACTGTATCTACTTCAAAATGTGAGTAAAAAGAAGTCCCACAAGCTCGTAATTTTGATGACTGACAATCGCCTTAACAACCATCCTTTTCACCTCGAATGTGACAGCCGCGTATCGATTGGTGGTCAGTATCCTTCGTCCCACTTGAAGCTGCTGAATGGCCGAGATAATTCCTCGGTAAGGTATTAAAACATTGACTGCTTTAGAATGGTCTCAGGGATAAAAGTGGGCATTTTCAGTTTAGCCAGGTTTATAATGGTCTAATTTGATGGCCATCAATGCACTGAATTGCTTGCCTTTGAATTCAAAATAAACAATGCCATTATCTTAACACAACTGTGACATACCAGCCTAATTTATTCGTTCTTTGCTGAAAAGAAATCTAGCAAAAAATAGTAAAAACATTGTAGCAATGAGTAGAAGCACAAAGGATTGTTAAAATCCCAACCCCGTGGAGGGCTTGAGCAAGTGCTTTGAGGTCAGTCAAAATATTGGATTAGAGAGAAAAAAAAGGAAGCGAGGTGTGTTTGTAAACATGCGTGCAAACACAGTTTCAAAATTCCGAGAGAAATTAAATTGAGCGCTGCACTCCGCGAGAGATTGGCAGTGGGCGTCTGCCAAAGCATGAGATACATAATTGTATTAATTGCTCTCTTTTATTATGATGAGTTTCATCGGATAGCAAAAAAAAACGCGAAAGGAGACCTACATCAATTTGCCATTAGTCAATTCAATTAGTCAAAAGGCGTTGCCAGTGCAACTGTTCCTAATGAACATTGGTGTGCAATATCCAGGTACTTAATCAAGTACTGTAGGGAATAAAGAGAATTCAAGGAAAAAAATAAGCGATAAGGAATAAATTAAGTTCCTTTAATGATTTTATTAGGCATGTTTTAATGTCTTAGGGTCGAAATAATAAGTCGTATAGTTTTCTTCAAATGCCATTATACCAGATTTGTGGGACGCCTACAATTCTTTAATTCTACTTCACGAATTCAGAATTACACATTCATGTGAAGAATCCGTGATACTTACTATCTTATAAGTAACAACAACTGGTCCATTAAAAACAGAATTTACTTAATGCACCTACAAATGAGGTTCTACACAATATTAAAGCTACTGGTAATTAGAAAACTAAAAATGGAATAAACAAAAGAACCTGTTATTATGATTGCTGGGTAACTTTTTAAAAAATCTTCTAATTTAAGTTAAATTGTTTAAGTTAATCAAATCAGTAGGAAACCTCAGATTTGTCGAACTAGTTACCGTGTGCTCTCAGCCCTTTCAAATTTTCTTGCAGCCTTTACAAACAAATACGGCGATTCTTAGTCACTTGCACGTTGCCAGGCCAACTGTACAAGTTGTCAGCAATGGATGCAATTGCTCGTCATGGCTATTGTGATAAGTTAAAAGTGAAAATTCACTGATATCTCCTAATTAATGGGTCGGCTGATGCAGTGGCACAGCACATGTGTTAAACAAACGTTGGATAGACCAAAGGCAGTCCATGGTAAGCTTTATTAGTCTTCGCTTACCTATAAGGACTCGGAGTTAATTGGCACGGAGAAGGTTCACAACGCTTCACCCCACGCACTCACGGGCACGGGTACGCAGTGGAAAAAAATGAGACTTTCCCACATTGAAACAACTACATTAGACTCCCAGACTCCATTGTAAAAGGCACCAGTATTCACAAGACTCGGTGACCATGTTCTGCATTATCCCATTGCCAGCCTTTGGTGCTTGATAAGACCCAGGTATTTTCCCACCTCGAAATAAATGCGTGACGAATTTATGTGAGTTTAGCGTTTCAATTTTTAATCTATATTCTATCTGTAACTCAGCTCTTTATTCCAGATCACTATGATGGTTCTTTTCACAAAGGTATAACAGGGGTTTTCCAGGCACTTGACAAAATAATTTTAACCATGGATTGAATGAAATAAAAAGGTGATATTTGAGCACGTTCTTATTTCAATAAAATTTTTAACAGGCGGGTCCAAAGTACATGGTGTGCATAAAAATCTAAACATGAATCCCTGTCACTTAGTCTCAGTTGACTCGATTGGGCGCAGGGCGAAATGGAGCATCAACAAAAAAGTGGGCGCGGGATCAGAAACAAAAATGGGTATCAAGAAAGACTTTGTAATTGTTCCAAAATGACAGAAAATCTCAGCAACAATTGAGCCAACATCTACCAAGCTGAAAGGCAAAAGGAGCTTATTACAAAACAAAGGGAGGAGATAACAGCGCGTACCTGCGACCTTCAGCGCCCGACCTATGAATAAAGTGAATCGACAGAGTAAATTCAACGCAAATAGGGGGAAAAAGTATGTATTTTATCAAAAGGAACAAGTACCTCTACATTTGCTTAAAATTGTTGATGGCGGCAGGCGAATAGCTGCTTTTTACGGCTAAAATAGATGAGGAATATCTTATACTCAATCTCAAGATTGCTGTTTCTTGAACGTAGTCATCTGGCGTTGAAAATTTAACCCACTAAAAGGCACGTGATTGTGATAAAATTACCACCATAGGCGAAGGAACGTGAAGAACCTGCCTAAAGGAAATACTTTGTACTCACCATCATTCAGCCATTTCTCTAGGTTGCCATTAAGACGACCGTGTGTTCGTGCTTAAAAAAAGGCAAAAAATAAAATTGAAAATAGAACTTTCTAAACACTGGGGATGTGGGTTAGTGTTGGCTAAGGAATATATATATATATATATGGAAGTCCACCATAAAACGCGTAGCGACTAATTAAGAGGTGTTTACATTTCCTATCCATTCAAAATGACACTTTAGTGACAAGGTAACCATCTAAGGCTTACCTAAAAAAAAGTCTGCTCAACCTAATTAACGAATGTTGGGAACTGCAGTGGTAAGGAGATCAGGGTCCTTTTGTTTTTCTCTACACCATAAAATTGTCTTTTTATAGCACAGACTCCCTACATTTCATCCGATGCCTTCAAATGACCGGCACTACATCCCGCCAGAAACAAAACAGTTGCGCTTAATTATTTTCGTAATTAGGCCGCCCTGTTGGTGTGATGGCGCTTCGACCGTCCGATGGGTCCATTATCATCCATTTTAACCGATTCAAAAGGTAAAAACATTTCCTATCCATTACCAAAATTCCAACCAAAATCCAAGTGCTAAAAGTGGAGCCTCATTTGGATGAATGATTACGCGACTTTATTTAGCAGAACTGCTTTACCTCCAAGGCCGACAAATAATGCCCCTCTAGGACATCACAAGCAGTTAAACTTTTATTCAATGGCTCTGAGATAGGCTGCTTAGGCGAATGGGACAAGTGGTGACAGCAAGAGCCTACCCGAATAAAGAGCGCACATCTAGCGGTGCGCACCAAGTTAGCTGGACCCGACCACCTGAGTGAGGTTAGTCACACCGTGGTCTTTGTCTAAGTCTGCTTCACAAGAGTCAACACGAGTAGGGGAAGAGGCGACGTACCTCTACCTCTCACTTGGGATGCATTTCGCATATAATTACGCGTCGGAACTAGAGTAAAAGTGTAGTAGTTGTTACGCCAGTTTCCTTTTGTCAGGGGAATGAAGGTGCAAAGTGTCGGAAATCAAGTGATCTTAGTACAAAAAAAGGAGTGCTAAATAATTATGCAAAAGATGATATTAATGTTAGTGTGGATTTAAAGAAAAGGCTTGAAAACATGGATGGAGTAATAGCTTGTGGTGATAATGAATAAAAAGTTAGCTCCAGATTACCATATCCACAGCGAATAGAACCACAGCCTATACACGAGGTTCACTCAAAAGTAAACGATGCCAAACAAAACAAATGATAGGAGTAGTACACCACTTGTGGTTTTACTTTCTCTTTTGCCTATGTGGCTAAGGCAGGTTAATAATCAGGCGACTTAGATGCTGGTCAGTCTAGTCAGTTTGGATGTCGCTTCCCCTTCGTTGAAGTGGTCAATCTTACCGACATTAACTGGAGCTTAGATTTCAATGGTTGTAGACTTATAACACTAACAGTAGTATGAGGTGGGCCATAAGCTACCATGGGTGGCATAAAAATGCATAATCCTAGATGTTGGAATTTCAAAGCGCAGATAAAACGTCTCACTCCAAAATAGCATCAAAGCAGTTCCAAATTTAAATATCAATCAAAATTTAATGTATCGCCTCTGAAAAAGGAATAAAACTGCTTTAATAAATAACCAGCCTTAATGGTGATCTTTTTTCGTGGCCAGAGGAATGAGTTTATGAGGCTCACCGTAGTATGAGCTGCTTGAATCCGAATACGTTTCACTCTCATCTTAATGGTAGAAGAAGAGAATAATCTACTTAATTAAGATAATAAAAATGCCATTAATTCTCTTTATTCCGAAATTCGCCACTTGTCCTAACTCATTATAAACCGCCATACAATAAGTGTGCTACCATCAAAAATTTTCACCCACTTTGTAGAGAATTGGGGACTTTAATTACCAACCATACTACTGTTGGACCAACAGTCCTTTCTTTAAGCGCCAGATAGGCAACTTGGTTTTGAATATTTTCATTGAGGTGTCACTTACCATAACGGAGTGGAGTGACAGGATGCAGAGGCATACTAGGACCGGGTAGAATGGTTTCTAGGAAGATATAAAAAGCAAACAATATCTAACAAATACTGGATGCAAAGTAACCGTTGGGGTCATTATCGATTGACATATAATTGGCAAGATTTGACTGGTCTGATTAGATGAGACTCAGGGTAACTTGATTGACAATGTAAAGATATTGGCCTACAGCTAGCTGTGAAACAATTCTGTGGGTAAAGGCAACACTTTTTAGAAAAAGGAAATTGCTACAAATTCGTGTGTTTTCTAACCCAATCTATGTAATGGGAGCCTTGGTGCGTCGGATTACCTGCCGACGCTACATCTATGAATTTGAGGAAACTAAACTCTAAAATAGATCACTAACCCTCAAAGAACGAGAGATTAGAACTAGGCCTCGGGGGTAAAATTTTGGAGGCTGAAATAAACAAAAAAACCATTAGCATTGATGTCCTACTAGCGCTGCTGGTGAATTCTTGCTTTCTAAGTTCTCAGTCGGAGGGATTTAAATCATGCATTAAGACATACTTGCACGGCTGCGCCGTGAGACCGAGCGACGGAATTCTGAAAATCAGGAAAAGAGGTTGATGGTGGCATCGACTTGTTATATGAAAGTCAGATAACAGCACCAGATATGCTTCCATCGAATTCTGGATTAAATGGAGGCAAAGGCCATTCAAGCACTTGATTTGTTTTCTCCCGTACACACACAAACATTCGGTGTTCATGCCTGGGATATGGAAGGCTGTCATCATGCTACAAAGTTGTTTCATCTGACCATTTCTAAAATCATTGACACTTCAGAGGTACTCTACTGTCACAGGTGCGGTTAAGTAGTCTACCACACTTCCGACAAATCACCGAACGCAATTTAATGATAAATTTGGAAAATTTTAAATAAAAATGGCCTACCCGGGGGTTTGCAATGCTCACATCTTTGTTGGCAGGCTAAAACATCAAATTCCTTATAGACGCCGTGAATAAGGTTATTGTGATTGATGAGATGACGACTACCTTTGTGGGTGCACTTGCTCTGACGCTGTCCACAATGGTGGAGATGGGGGACTAGGCTCTCTGAAAATACCAAACAATGCCATGTAGTAAACGTCAAAGCAAATGTCAGTAGTTGTTGCTCGGTGAGACCACTTACGCAGAGGGGACCGACCAGAGCGCGGTTTCAGCATGATAATTTTATTAGTACCTGAAGGCAAAAGAGAAAGGTTTAAAGCAAATCGGATGTGCGAGAGGTTGTGGGACAGGTGCAGTGGCGATGCAAAACAGAAAAAAAAGGATTTTGGTGAGTGTGCGCTTGGATGGTTCCCGAAGTGGCTGAAACCCACCCACTGGAGTCATGGATTGTGGACTGCAATAGTAGGACTGTGGGGCATCTAAGCATGGGATGGATTTGCAATTTTACATCTCAATGATTTGTTTCTTTACTTTAAAAGGCGACTTTAAATGAATTCTGATCGCTGAGGGCGGATGAAATGAACATTAACAATGCTTAGGTGGACGCAAACTTACGACTTGGACTCTGACCAAGGTATCGTGCACCATGATAATTCCGCCAATCGAAAGCTGAAAAAGTGATTTATGTCATCAAAATCACTAAAACGAAAGTCAATCTATTTTTTTTTTAACATCAACTCCTGGTGCCTACTCTGCGGTATTTGAAGGGGCTGACATTTTGGCGAAAAGGACTTCCACGCTTTTGACTAAATTTCCGATCATGTTAAAAGGCTTTCTTCCGGTAATATTTGCATGTTTCACTTCTTGCTTTTTGCTTGATTATCATATGCTCAAGGTAATGACTTTTAAATAATATGCATTTTATAAACAAAAGGGAATTGCAATAATTGCACTTAAAACAATTTCAAGTGGTGTGTGCTTTTGCTTTAGAGCTTGATTATGTCGCAAGGAATGCCACCCTTTTTACTAAGGAGTAAAAGACAATGGCAATGGGTGTAAAAATGAGGTGAGCTGGCCAAGTGGCTAACTTTCAGGCATTAGCAATGCAAACCCACCTCCGGAATTGTATCCTGAAGAGGTCGATGTTTCACTTTCTGAAACTTCTGAAGAGAGAGAAAAGCAATATGATGCCCATTTTCTGGTTCAACAGTTAAAAGTTTTAACAAAACCGTTAAGATAGTAGATATGGTACATTAAGTAGTCAAAGCAAACTTGTTGAAGTAAACTCATTTTACTGTTTACCTGTTTGGAAGTAGCTTGAGCTCGGCAAGCTCGCAGTATACGAAGAAGTCGATGATGATGATGAAGAGGTGTCAAACCCTGATTTTCCAAAAACATTTTTAAAGACACAAATCAACCTGCTTGCATCAAGGTTAAGGCAAATTTTTACTGAAAATATACAAATAATTTGTTAAACCGGTGCTGGCATAACAAATAGAGTGGGAAATCAGGAGAGGTGCACTTCGCTAGTTGGCTCGTGGCCTTGGCACAAAGTAAGTACCCAGATTGTCATTAGGACTGTCTATTAAAAGGAATGCAATGAATAGACGTGTACAGGGGTCACCCGTGCATTACCTGGATTACCTGTGCATGCTAATGAGCATGGGCACAGACACCCTAAAAATGTTCGTTAACATCAAGTCAAGCTGAGTAGGGAGCGGGGGTGGGGACGGAACGAAGGGTTGTAACTGAAAGGTGCTGCGTGCCCAAATGCATTTACAGAAATTGTAGCCTCCTCCAAAATATCTTACAAGGCGTAATGCTGCCTCCTTAACCCCATTTCAGTCAGTACTGGTAGTCATTGAGATGAATGTTGCATTTATCGGAATAAGAAAACAACATCACTGCTCCGCCCATCATTTGTAGTAAAAATTTTAAGGAATATTTTTGAGTAATAATAATTACAGTTAAGCTTATTTGGCCTCTCTTATGAGTAAAGGCGACGCAGTTGTTTAGTGCTAAGCCGAACTCACTGGGAGAATAACGACGTGGAGAGTTGAACCTTGCATAACTTCCATACCTGTAATCTACAACAAGGAAGGAAAATTAGCTTTTAATGCTTATTTCACGATAGCAGACAATGTAGTCTTATGTATGGATATGAAGTTTATGAGTAAAAGTGCAGCCTGCCATACACCTTAGCAGGTGTTGCTCCCGTTATTCTTTCATTATTGGCTTAACTCTTCGTTTTGATTTTGCAGCCACTAAGGCTAGGCGGCACGGCCCTTAGGCCACACCGGTAGCCCCTCAGCCCTTCTGTAGGGCGTAAATAAGTAATTTACTCGAGTGTCATGCCTTCTTCCGTCTCGGGGTCTCGGGGTGCAACACCCATATAACCTGTTAATCGGTTTCAGGTTTATTTATTTATTACTAATGTAAACACAACAAATCTTGGGACCACTCTGTGTAGGCATAGTCCTACCGTGCTTTGAAAAGTTTTTTTTTTAATTTTTTGTGGGATAGCATTCCCCCCTTTCCCTTCACCTCAAACGCATTTTAGTTTACAGTGCTTTTTAAAAGCTGCTTCCAAAAGCTCGTAATATGGAGCGTATTTTGGTCCTATTGGAACTGAATGAATGCTCTTTGATCTTGGTATATAATGAATGGTGTCAGTAACTAGATAATTGATAAATCGATTATTGATTCCCACTTAAACCAGATTGGTAGAAATTTGGAAGATCAACAAATGCGGAACCCAATTAATGTCGACAGCAACCAAGACTCCTCTTACTGAGTTACCATTTAGCGGAACATCATGTGCCATCTTTTACTGCCCTTGTGACAAGATCCTGTGTTAGCCTAACCTTCTGATGGAAATGACTCACCTGACCCAGACAATCAATCTGCATGGTAAACTTAGTGCTCTGCTAACTTTATAATTTCAGAGGCGATAAAATTTCGGTTGGAACAACAATGAGTGGAAGTAGATTATTTTCGGCGACGTCGCCGCTTTATGTGATCAAGGAGAATTTATCGCTGTTGGTGAAGATAATTCTTAATACCTCTGAGGTGGCAAGTAATGTGTGACTAATTTAAGTATTGAACAATAGTGGTTATCCTATTAAACTAATAAATGAAGCATTATCTGGAGGCACAAAGCATCCAATTGAACTGCTACAGACAGAGTTTGGATTGGATACCAGAGAACAACGACCTGCGTGTAAAATGGACTACTAAATGGGTAGTGCATGGAATAACCGAAGAGATAAATGTGAACATGAATTTACAGTCATTGCGAGTGGGTGAGGTGCGCCGATACGGAGAGGTGTCTCGGCGGGAAGGACTGGAAGAATAGTGTCTGGCCGCACCTAGAAGTGGGAAATGCGCTTCAGTGCTGCTTTAAATGGAACCACTCCTACCATAATTCAGCAGCTAACGGCTGATCTTCCCTCTTGTATTCAAGGTTTTTTTTTGTAGCGAGATGACCGGGCTACATTCGATAAATAACTTTTTATTTGGAAGAGCTGAATTGGTCACACCAGTGAAGCAGTTTTCAATGTAAACAATACGGACAGTCTCGTGGATAAAGCAAATGCAAGCTACCATAAATTTCCATGGCATTACGGCTTCCAATACTCTGAAAATCGTGTTGCGCATTACAAGGCAGCATCGCACAGACTTACTTCTAGAAGTCCGCCTTGGGGAGTGTCGTGGCGAACGACCCCCTATGAAGATGAGTTATCGAAAATGAATGAGCATAGTCTGCCCAACAGGCAAAAGTTCCCTGCTTTAAGTAGAAAGTACTTTGCAAAAGTGAGCAAGGAAATGAGAGATGAGAAAGCTAATAGTCATTTTGAAATGTGGTAATGATTAACCATATCTCGCCTACCAATGTTGACTCGCGGCATTGGTCTTAAACGGTGGACTAAAACCCCAAATAAGGTATACATAAGGTTTATATTTTTGAAAAGGGCCAAAACAATTTTACAATTCTATTCACAGGTGAAGTGGCGCAGATAGAGCTAACCAACTTACCCGTTTCAGTTGACTGGGAGTCTAAAGCAATCGTAAAATGATTTGGCTACAATTTCGGCCCACAACACAAATTGCTGACAGTGAAATTAGCCATTTATTGGTGAACCGTAAAGTAGAATGCGGGGTAAATTCCAATTTTTGGCAACATAAGCAAACATACCAGTTGTGGTGGAATCCTCAAATCGAATCAGCCTTTCACCCTCTGGGAAAAAGAAAGAGCAAAGCGTCAGAGCCGTGTATCGAGGTGTTACGAGTGTTGAGTTGGATGTATTTACTTATTGTTTGTGTTGATTAAACCGTGAGGAAGTAATTATAGCCCCGAAAACATAATAAATTGTTTTTTATATTTGTTTGAAGCTCTTGAAAACAGCGTTCTCATCCTCACTGCTATTAAGCGTGTCAAGCGGACAGCGAGCAATGCGAATATTGGTGTTAGTGGCATAGACGTTGGCATTTTCGGGGGTTGTGGTGGCTTCTTGAGGTGGTAATAATGCTGATTATTGTGTACACTGGTTTCGTGTGCACAATTCCTGTAAATACTTGTTAAGTTAGAGAACTTACTGAGAATTTCTGGCCCCTTCACCACTACATTTGTCAGCATAAAAGGAGCACGAGAGGCATGCACGATTAGGCCATGGAAACAAAAGCACATTCAGCAATCAGTGGGTGAGCTCTTCAATGCCGAGGATTAATGGATATTACTTAATTTACTCCGGGTAATTTGGGTACGTGATGTTAATTTTTGTCACCTACCACGCCCTGTCTTCCTATCTATCCAGATCGGCTTTGTTTGACCTGCAATAGGATAAAAATTAAGTGGATCCACTCTACTCCCCCCCTCCCCCCCAAAGGCGTCCCTCACACTGCTTCCTCTCAAATCCAATCCAATGATGAGTTCTAGATGTCGCCCTGAGGTGCTCGATGGGGTGGTGCAACTTGCTCTGCCCTGACCTATTTCAGTGAATTTATTTCGCATGAAATCTTTTTGTGGTCTCAAATTTTCACAAGAGAAGTTCTATTTTCGTGTGTGCAATTATCCAGTTCGTGGGGATGAATTTGCCTGATCGCAGAGCAGGTAATATAATGTGCGTTCCTTTCCATCCAAAGTGCTAAATGGGAAGGAGCACGTCTATTAACAAGATTAAGGCAAACACACCAGATTTAAAGGCTGAAGTTTTTGGCGCCGGCTTGAGAGGACTTGGAGCTTCAGGGAAACGGGGGAAAGCAGCGTCAGTGAGCGCATAGAGCAAATGCTTCTATACATCACTTAACCACTCACCCCTTGCTCTTCCATTGGTATACTCCTGCAAGTAGTGTTCTGTGATAAAGGATTTAGATTATCATTATTACAACGGAAATCGTGCATGTGATTTGGGAAGCATTTGCTTTAAAAGCAGAAAAATGAATAAAGCGTTGTTTGCCAACTAAAGCAGATTCATGTGCAGTGCTTAGGGAAAAAAAGGAGGTAGAGAAAGGAGGTCTAAATATGCCGGCTAGATTGCTCTAGGCTCATTTTAACCTCCCATTTATACGGAATATGAAAACTCACTTTCATGCGGCGATGGGGAGTGCACATCTACATGAAAAAGAAATTACTAGTCTATTTCTTCATTCGTGGAATGGCGGGTATGAGTTAACCCTTTGTGGATTTGCTTTTGGCCATAAATTGAAGAGGAATTTAAGACTAATGCCTTCCTGATTATGTAGTGAGTGGTCTGATCGGCATTTTGCATGCGTCTTACGTGAGCATTTCATTTCTCTCACCTTAAGCGGTTCATAAAACTGTGGACTGTGACTTTCCACTAATTTCTAACATTAAGACTCACGAATTGCGGTAAACTTACGTATGCGAGGGAAGGCGCCAGAATAAGGTCGTACTACAAGCAAGGATGGAAGGATTATGAACCAAAATTGCTTTTAGTCCATTCAAAACCCATTATGAGGTGCGGTTCTACTCGACTTTTTTTTTGTAAAATAATGAACAGAAACAAATTTTTGAGGTGGATGAAAGTACCAACGAGTGGGGAAATTTTACCCGTTTAAAGCTCTGCTCTGTGGATACAATGAGCTATGTGGATCCGTACCTACACTTATTTGGTGTAGAGTAACAAATCTTCTCAAAACAATCTTTCATATTAAGAAAACGAAACGCGCAATGCAAATTGAACCAAGGGGGGAAATCAAGGAGAAACCCATTCGTTAGAGCTATCACAGAATGAAACTGAGGGCATAAAATGCGAACAAGGAACCCAAACATTACGAATGAATGGATAAAATAATTCAAAACTGAGTGCGAATAAAGGTGGATGCAGTCGTGACATGGAGCAATCCACTCAATACCCCCATACTTCATGAGTTATCGAGACACGACAGCTTGTGAGGCTTGGCTCAAGTAATAGTGAGAACTTCACACGGTATTTACGCTATTCCGGGGCATTAAGCCTACTGGAAATGAGAATGCATGAGATAATGGCTAGGTTTATGGTTTTGTGAAATCACACAGCCATCCCGTCACTTGAGCAGCTGTGTGGCACATTTCGAAGGCCAACTAACCAATTGGTGAAGGGAAAACCATTCAAAAAATGAGATTTCCGGGATTTAATTACCCGTGGCCTAACAGTGGCGATGTCATTTAACCACAAAATGGCAAGATTGCGGTATTTTTTGCCATTTCGCGCAGCCATTGGTAATTGTAGACCCGTCGTGCCACATCACTTAACTGTTCATCCCTAGGATATTTCCTATTCCCATATCTGTGATCCACTTTGGTTCCATGAAGTCAGGATTTTTCTACCACAGCTGCTTGTGCTACAGGAGGGGGGGGGCTGTAATTTCCGCTCTTCGAAAGTGAGGCGATGTAGGTGGTCATGTGGACGCACAAGTTCCTTACACGATGCCTTTGGTACCATTTAGATTGTTTCTTTGGCTGTTGGTGCAGTGGATAGGGTTTCCCTTTTTCATCAACAGCGTGGCTATAAAGTGAAACAACTAAGGAGTTCTCGCACGCTCATGGTGCATAATTTATGAGGAGAAAGTTTTAATCTCAAAGTTGGCCACATTCATGGTAGCCTTCTAAAAATGCGAGAACCCAACCTGAAATCTTGAAAGTGTGCACTTTTGGTTAGAAATTAGCTATCACATGAGCGGTTGTTTCAAAAGAAAGTAGTCAAACTCATGTAGATCATGAGCTTGTTTTCACGTGAGAGAGATACTGGGAAGTGAAGCTGATCTACCTACCGCCTACTGTCGAAGCAAGCCTTACAGTTCTTGCCTTTACCACTCATACATGCTGCTCGTAGGTGTATTTCTAGCATCACGAGAAGTCGGTGAGCTGTCACCAATGCATGCAGACAATTATAACTTTTAGGCGCTTCTTCGACAGTGGTTAGTTAGACGGGTTTGTGCATGCACTTACAGTCAAGGACAGATTGCGATCTTCCTTTCAGTGGCAACCCTAAACGGAAGAGAGCGGTACTGAATCAACGGAATATCAACAACTCAATAGGTTTGAATTAGACAATCCATCCACCTTGATCAGATAATCACCACTTCTTATTATTGTAATGGATAATTTCAAAGGTAGGTATCAAAAACATGACGACTGCTTTTTCGCCCACACAATGCAGATCATCTAGGGTTTTTTAAAATGTGAGATTTAAATCACTAGATTAAAAGAGCCATCCAAATTCCACCGTGATTTTGTCACTAGTTATTAAAGGGGAAAAATGGACTTTTAAGTTATAGCCTCTAAATAAGCGACATTTTAGAGTAAAATTGCTCTTCCAAAGTGGCGCTGGAGTTGGGTAAAAGTGCCAGAGATAAGCGTGATTTTGATAAAAAGCCTGCAAAGCGAATAGGCGCGATGGTAAAAGCTTGGGGCTGTTGAGGGGAAGGGTCGAGGTCCATTGGCAAAACACTGCCTAACATCAGACAACAAATATGACTACCATTTTATTGAAAATTTTTGAAGCTCCTCTTCCATTTTGGAAAAAAATTATTACTCTGAAATGAAACGATTGACGCTAGCGGTCGCGTCTGGTGATCAAGTCTACCTGGACAGTGGTGAGCGTATTGAGTGTCAACCGTAGATATAAGCAAGTCGAACTAACCTGCATCTTGTTGTCCGAGGAAGTAGTGCGGCTTGCTGTAGACCATCGTTACGGTGTGGGTAAATTCCGGTACAATCGTCAAAGCACACACACAAACATGCAATGGGTAGCAATAAGTGGCTACTTTATTGCCTAGAAAGCAGCGACTTTCTCGACAACCTAGGAGCCAATGCAGGCCTGACGAGATCGCACTAATAACCTTGAGAAATAATTGCTGTGCGCAACCGGTGATTTGAGCGTCAAGATGAGGCCCTCCGACGCATCGATGAGGGGGGGGCGGCGTTCACGCCGTGCTTCAATGACTAACGGCCACTGCGGCAATCACATGGCTACCGAACTCCCAGGTAAAATCTAACTTAATTTCCCCCTTAAGTTAATAGCTTATGCCGATTTCTATTTCACTGTTCTGCAACTCTCAGAATTGGTCTACCGAATTTTGGCGTAAATGGTGGTGGGGAGGGGGGGATAGCACGAGGTTCTACGCAAACTCAAATTAATTTAACACACCGAATTGTCGTTTGTTCGCATCAGGCTTTCGATGATATTAACATTCATTACCGTAGACTCAATGAGTTAGTAGAAAAGAGGCGAATTAGGAGGTAGCTTCCACTAGGAAATGAAGTGCATCAATTCCAACAAACTTAAACCTACTTAACCCCCAAACTACCACAGAATAACGACTTAGTAGACAGTATCGACTTAAACGGGAACGCGTTACAACATGTTAGCTGGAGAGAGCTTAGAAAAGTACCAAGAAATTGATGATTTTTTCAGAGAACAGTTTCCAATTTTACGGCACAAGGGCATGGAGATTGCCAAAAGGAAGAACGATTTGGGGTGTTTTCAAGGGTTAATTTTGTTAGTAACATCCACTTAGAACTAATATTCCAGCAAATTTGATAAGTTATAAGAGATATTTAAGTTGTGCTACAGTTTTAAATCGATCAGCTCAATTGGCTCACTTTTGAGAATCCAAATAATGCGTGAAGGTAATTCCTGATTTTAGTTTGTTAAAACCACTCTTTGAGATAGTGGAAACAGGAATTAAATGTATGGAAAGGGAGGATGCCTTAAATTGCTATAAGTTGAAATCGCACGATCAAAACTCGATATCATTAAAAGGTTTTACACTCCATTCACCAGTGAGACTGGATGTGAAGCCAGTATTTGATTGCGCTTAGGATATTTAGTAAAGCTTAGTGAGTATCAATGAGATAGAACATCCAAACGTAAGCACTGGCAGCGCCCAAACAAGCAGGCTGCATTCTACAATATGGATCATTGTAGAGCTCTGCGACTTCCCTGAAGACTTAAAAAAGAGCATAAACTAGGACAGAATATGCAATTTTGACCAACAGAAGGGCTTGGGGTCCATTAATATGGTACGGATGATGGACGGCCCGGTAAAAGCACAGTGGCGGGGACCTCAGTGGCCTTTTTAGCAAAACTGAGAATTAAACGAACAATTGACGTATTACAATATTTAACTTAGGCCAGCAAGCCAGGTGGAAAAAAAATCACATTTGTGGAGTATCTTTGATACTCTTGTTTTTTTCTGGTCTCAATAAATAACAGTCTCGAGCACTGAAAATTATCTTATTTGTCTTATATGTCTTCAAGAAAGCCTATTATTCTAACTGAATGCAAAATGTTCAAAAGACGCTCTCCATCCTCCAAGTGTCTATTGGATTTGCACAACACCTCCTTCCTTTTTTGACATCGCACCCAGGAAGCTAATCACCAAAAACTTTCGCTGTTTAATTTTAAGTTAAAATCTGATGGCGTGGAACTCAAGTAACTTTTCAAGTTACTTCCACATTAATGGCGATAGATAGACGTGGAAATTGACAGGTCTGCAAAACAGAATCTAGACAAATTCGCAATTGCTGTCACTAGAGTCCAAAATTTTCCCTTCAAATGCAAAGTGCAGTTATCAAGTAAAATCCTTGTTGGCAGAAATGTGAAATATTCACCAGATGCAGCCATTCCTCTTGTCTTGCGTCGTGGCTACTTCTTGTTCTCATGGATTCACCCTCGGATCACGTATTACTGTCTCGTAAAACCTTCAGCCTAATTGATTGTCGGAATTCAGAGGCGTGAGAATTTTACATCCTCACTTCACTTGTAGGCTGTGCGGTTGTGTAATTTCAAGTCTCAACAAGGATAAAGAAAACTTGGGCACCACCTAACCATTTACAAGCAATGTAATGTAACATTGCTGCTTATTCTACAAATGGGGCTACATGCGGCGCAAACTGATTTTGAGCAGTGGGACAAAGTTAGTCGGTTTTGACACGTTAAATGCGTTTCTAACAAAGGAAGGAGGTGTTGTGCAAATCAAATAAACGCTTGGATGATGGAGAGCGTCTTTTGAACTTTTTGCATTCAGTTAGAATAATAGACTTTCTTGAAAACATAGCCGATCAAATAAGATAATTTGCAGTGTTCAAGACTGTTATTTATTAAGACCAGCAAAAAACAAGAGTATCAAAGATATTTTTTAAGCCCTAGAGTAATGCAAAAGCTAATTTGCAAAGTGAGAAGTGTCTATGGGAAATGAGACAACTAAAAAGCCAAAATGAATCTATCAACTGGTTCACGAAAGTCCAACTGGGCTTCATAGCCTGCCTTTTTTCTGAATTACTACTGATTTTAAACTGTGAGTAGAGTTTCCAAGCATATACAGAAAACCCATTAATTGCAGTGTCTTCTTTTTCTTAACCGTCAGCCTTTACTTGGAGGCTTTTTATTAACATTTGAGTTTAAAAATACATACGATTATATTTTATTGGGCGCATTTCAAGTTAAGTGTGGGTGGAAGCTGGAAAGAGAACAAGGCGGCTGCAAGGCCATTGCAAACGAGGCGTGGTCTCATCTCTCAATTGCTGGCACTGGTGACAACAGATAGGCTCCACTCTGTTAAAGAGGAAGGTGGCAATCGATGGCGTAATGCTGACGTAATGGTGGGTGCAATTTGATCCTTTTAAGTCTAGTGATTGCCACGAACACTCTTCCCAAGCATTCCCAGTATTGAAAGATTCGTTAATCCATATTTCTCCCTCCTTTAAATATATGGCAGTGTAATTGGGTAAATGGGATTAGGTCAGTCTAATTTACTATTGTTACCATCCTTTGTAGTCTCAACGCAGGTCTTTTATGTAGTCCTAGTTCAGGTTTATTACCCCTTCCAAAATGGGACTTTCCACTCGAGCATTGATTTACTTCCGCTGCTATTGGTCAATTACCTAGTTTTTTTCTCCTCTTTTGGTTCTTTTAAGGGGAGGAAGAATATAAAGATGAACTAAAACCTACGCTAGTCACAATTTGCACTTTACATCTCGATGGCAAACTTAGCAAACTTGGATTACCGTTGTTCAAGTAAATTCCACCATTGGTGAAATGCCAACATTAGCAAACAAGACTCTCAAGCCTAACACAAAGAGGAAGATTTATTTCACGCTAATAAGCGGCTCTGTCATTCGTATTAAAGTTTCAAACATTCAGGAATATTCCTCCAGCATAGCAACTCAGTGCCAAGGAAAGCTAAACTACACAGAAGTTGAAAAAATTGACCGGTGAGCGATAAAAATGCAATGGACAGACAGGTGGTGGTGCATGACCATGTGAAGACCCAGTGCTAAGAGCCAGAGGGAAACTACTTGAGTCTTGCCAAGCGAGTGTACCAAACAGTGAGAATTCATCTTTAACAGAAAGTTCAGAGAAGGTGGGAATGCCTTATACAGAATAATTTGAAGTACTAATATGATAGCTAAATAAAAAAAAAATGAAAGGAAGGTGGATGCTCAGAGACCTTCAAGATTATTCCAAACATTTGACACATCCAGTGCAGCGTAAGCCTACAGTGGTACCTATCTTGCCTATGCCGTCCAAGCAGACCTCCCGTCAGAATTGCAAACTCCCATGCTGTGTCAAACTTCCATTATATTGATTCAACTTTTTCTCCGTGGTAGTTTTCATGTTCTCGGCTAGGTCTACGGTAACTATGACGCCGAAGAGGCAAGTGTTGAAGTCCACTTTGAAGGGGTATATTGTTACGATTCAACAGTTGACTATACAAGCCGTTCAGTACTACGCGACTCGACTGCCACGCTTTGTGTTTTGGGGTCCTGTCTATAGCGTCTTCTAGGCCAGTTTGTCTTAATGACTGTGGTGCTGCAAGGTGCTGATATGAACTACTATTTGGCATCCGCTATATTGGATATGCTAGATTCTACTGTCACCGACCGCTACACCTACCGCGAAAATGAAGGTATGCGTATAACTATATCTCATTGCACCTTGATGTTGAGTTGGATGCCAAATATCCACGGCATTGTGTCCAAAGAGCTATTTGTATTCCCATCAATTAGATGGTGTCTTGTACTGCATTATAGGAATTAATTCTGCCTACACTTTAAACACTACTAACTTCGCTTGAATCAAACAATTCGGTTCTTGCTTAAATTTTGACTAACATGTCTAAAAAGGGTCAATCAGAATTATTGTATCAATGATAAGAGTGCAGTTAATATAAAAAATTTTGGAGTAAATTAATAGTAAATGACAAATGTAAAGATATGCACCTACCTTTCTCAGGGAAAAAATACAGCCCTAATGACTCCACTTTTACACGCATGTCTCCATGGTTTGTGAGCTTTCGAATTTACCCGGAGATTAACAAATTTGCAGAGCACTGAATTATAAAGCACAAAGTGTCTAAACGATAAGGCAAAGCTGTGGAGCAAGCAGGAGGTCTACTTACTCAAAGGACTTTTTAAAGGGGTATGAAACACCTTGAATGATAAGGGTAAGAGGTAAAAGCTGGGAAATGGCAATGTTATTGGCCACAGTGGCATATTAGTAATCAATTATATCGAGGCAAAAATATTTCCAACGTTTACACCTGCTAAAGTGCTTTCTAATTTGTTAGATTTGGTTAAAAGCTATTTTACTTGACAGATTTAAACAAGATAGCTTATTTCCAAGTATCATCCTTTCCCTGTATTAAAAGTGCTTTGACACGTTTTAGTGGTACTTACGGGGCTC